CCTTCCACCTGTTTCACCGCTCTCTGAGGATTACTCTGGACCACCGAGCACCATCAGCGGGTTATCTACCAAGGTCCCTGCGCCACGTAGCATCCTGAGTTGTGTCCGTCTGACCTGTTAATGTCATCTTGTGTCTCTCAATAAAAGAGTTTACTTGCTTTTGCCTGTCAGAGTATATATGTGCCAATAATATATTGCCTTATATGAAACATACATGACATCACTACTTGGATATAGGGACATATATGTCTATATATATATTACATTTCCGTATAGGAAAGTCCAAATCAAACAAAGACCAAAGGTGACATTTTGAAATGAAAAGTGTTTCTTCTGCTAGATAATTAAACTCGTTGAAGTAAAAGCTCAGGCTTAAATCACCAGTTAGCTTTCACTTTTCCTCCATCATATTTAAAGCTGTTTTGGTAATCAGTGAGCTCAATCTATAGAAGGACTATAATAACCGCATTCATCTGGTGTGGAGATTGAACGATTGTCTTATTCTGTGTTGCAGGTTCAAACACGATGACAGGCATTATTCCCAAGAGCAAAGCAAAGGGCACTGACTTCTGTTATAACAAAGCGTTCAATTGTATAATCCGCTCTGATCTCGGCTGCTATATGAAGATAGGTGAATTAAATAAGAATTCAGACATCTCTATTCACAGCCTGCACCCTGCCTGCAAAAATGGAGACCACTACCTTAGTAGCAATAATGGCCCATTATACATCATCAAGGGCAAGTCAGTCCGCAAAGTTAGTGACCTGACGACAGACTACGATGCTAAAGTGTTCACTCTTCATCCCAAATGCCAGGGCGGAGACCACTACTTCTTTAGGGAAAGATGGTTTTTCATCATCTTCCAAGAACAGGGCACTATCCGACAAACAAATGATCTGAATACAGACGCAGAGGGTAAATACTACAAGCTGCATCCCGACTGCAGTAACGGCCTCTATTACTGGGGCGTAAGTAATGCCTTCTGCTTCCTCAAGCCAGCCTCAGAGTGGGGAGTTGAGTTCGGCTGGGGTGGCAGCCTCAGGAATTTTAAATCAATGGGTGTCGAATCTGTTCATCCCGATGCTCTTAACTTCCTTCCTGGTGGGCTGTCCATAACCAAAGGTGCATCCTTTGGCAAGTGGGAGAATATTAAAACCATTAAAAATGACAGCAATACAGCAGTGACATGGCAAAAGAAAATCAATAGAAAGGTTGGATACGATAAGGGGAAGATGACTGAGATGACACACAACTGGAAGATATCCACGTCAGCCTCGATTGAATCTGGAGGTCTTGCAGCGTTAATTGCGCAGGTTCAGTTCTCCTTATCTGCAGAATATGGAGGTTCACAGGTCAACACTGTAAACGAAAGCTGGAACGAAGCGACCGAAGTGGAAGAACAACTTTCATTTGAGCTGAAGCCGAACGAGGCTGTCTATCTGTGGCAGTACCAACTGGGTCTCGGTAAAGAACCAGTGCTGTTCTGCCGTGATATAAAGATTGACGACGAGCCAAACCCTCCGACTGAAGTCCCGCTGCCACACGCTCAATCATGAAAACATATCAGTTTAACTCCAAGAATAATCAAGTGCTTCAGTTAAACACCTAATTATAACATCTCAAGTCATCATTTATATATCTGCATGCAATGCTTAAAATAAGTCTGGAATTGTTTAATATAGCAAAGAGATTTTTCAGTTACAGTCAATGTAATTACAGATTACAACACTATTCATTATGGTATTATTGAAACTTAACTATTATGGTGTTTATGATTAAAAGAAACTGATATTATCTTACTTTAAATGTCATGAAAATTCTTCTATAGATCTCAAACATGTAACCTAACTACAAATCCTTTGGTGGCTAAGTCTGGCTTTGGGAAAGTTTAACAAGAATCAAATGTATCCTGAGTTCATATGATTGTAGATGTAGTCATAGATGTAGTTATAGTATAATCAGAGTCTACAGAAGCATCTGATTCACAAGTCATAAAATGTGCTGCATTTTGCCTCTGCATTTGCATCTGTACTCATGCATTTGTCGTATACATAATTAAAAGCTTTTTGTTTTCACAAATGTTACTTTATTGCATATAGCATTTGGATATGCTTCTAATAAAGCTGGAGACTGCATTTAAAGTCTTAGTGTTTTTATTGCAATTCTGTTTCTTTACCAAAAAAAACCAAAACAAACGAACAAACAAAGAAAAAAAAAACATTATTGCCCAAGCCGGTAGGGGTGGGAATCTCTATAGGCATCTCACGATTCGTTTCGATTACGATTAGGGATGCAAACGGTTAATTGATTATCGATTAATTGTCAACAAGAATTTACTCGATTCAATTCAATTAATTGTCGGTTAATTGAACATTGCGAAGGTGACACGACATTCTCGCGGGCGGCGAGAGACCCGACAGAAACTTTGAAGCGGACAGAAACTTTTGAATCCAAACATGAGGCTGTCCAAACGGAGTGGAGTGTGGGAGCATTTCAACACCAAATGTAAACTCTGCGGTACTATGATTAAGTACAACAGCTCTACGAGTTCGCTTAGATACCACATTCATAATGTGCATGTAGCCGTGTTGCAGGGAGGAAGTCTGTCGCCTTTACAAGCTACAATCGCTGCTGTGGTGGGAAGGCGAGTAATGTGACCACAGGAAAGCGGAGGGCATGACTCAGAGGATTTGCGGCATGATCGAAAGAGATATGATGTCAGTTAGCACCACTGATGGTGAGGGATTCTGGGAGTTAATACACTTCATGGAGCCACGATATAATATCCCTTCTCGAGCGACCATAACTACCTACTTGGAAGCATGCTACAAAAACAAGAACGCTGGGCTAAAAACACAGTTAGCCGCAGCTAATGTGGCTCTGTAGATAAAACGGCACTTTTTAACGGGTTGGATCCATTTGAAATTTCCAACAAACAGTGGGAGCGTTACGCTAACTTAATCCGGTCAAAGGTAAACTGCGCTCCACCTAGCTGCTAGTTTAGTAACAGTTATAGTGCTAACAACCATTCATACATGCAACATACTTTTAACGGTTGCCTCCGCTTTTATTTACTCAGTTGCTCGCATCACTAACCAACCCCTCCGTTTGCAAAGAAGAACTAGTGCGCCATCATGTGGAGGGATGTTTGACTACATGCAAGTATTTGAATTGTCGTCAATTTTAAAAATACGCGACACTGTCAGACAAGCATGGAGACGATAAAACAGATATTGCGAAAAAGGTGAGGGAAAACGAGTATGTAGAACAGGAACATCCAGGGTCATCCTTATCAACAATGATTTGTGATCATTGTAAGACGTGCAGTTAAATGCGTTGATGCAATAACGTTACCATATTAAGATTTGATTCAGAACGTCCAGTTTGACTGCTATTGTGGTTCTAATGCCCTGTTTTAATCGCGTTTTATCTAAACAACTTTGCAACAACGGGTTTGTAGGATAAATAACACAATTTTAGTAAAAGTCAATGACTGGTAGAATTTGAATGAAAATCTGTAGGCTATTTTAAAAACAGCCATCGGTAAATTTTACCCTGAGGTGGTTCTAATCATCGTGGTCCGGTAAATAACATTTTGCCAAAAGTTGTAGGACGTAAAGGGTTACAGTGATGTGTGTTGATTGATATTTTAGCACTCCACGTGCACTTGCGCGTCATTTTTGAGGAACGCAGGGCTGCAGGCTGTGCACACTGTAAATGCTCGGGTTTTTCTTCTTTTAAAAATAATTTATGCACGTCGGGTTCGGGTAAGTAGTGATTCGGGTCGGGTACAGTTTTTAGGACCCGAGAAGACCTCTAGTGGAATCTAGTGCTTGTAGTCTTTACAGAAATCCCCCCTTCTTACACTTCCTCCTACAATGACGTAAAATGACGATTTTTGCGTCATTGTAGGAGGAAGTGAAAAAGGTAAATAGCGGATTTATCTCATCTCAGGGGAAAATGAGAGAGTGTTGCACGACCATTCAAGTAGTATGACTTGGTTTCTAACAATGGAAATTCTTAATGCAAATGAGTGGAATGACCCTTTAAGTACCTAAATTTAGAATTGTTATTTTCTTGTAAAGCACTGGCCGTCACTACTTGAAAGTGCTGGAAAACTGCTTACATTTCACTCTTATCTAATCTGTAGTGTGAACTTTGCATATAGCAGAGAAATTTGCATATGGGGAACGCTTAATGTCACTTTCCCAGCGGAACACGGACTGAGTGGCAAAAGAGCTGCTGCGTGGCTGGAGTTAATAGGGGAAACTGAAAAAACGCCAGTAAAACAAATTATTATCAGTTTACACTAAAAGTTGGACTCGATATAGTGTTCCTTACAACTTCTCAAAGATCCAGTGATCCATGGATATTGGAATCGTGTTTCCTGACATTTATATGTGCCTGATTTCGACGCCGGGGAAATAAATAAATTAAGAAAATTTGCCCCGATACGTTTTATATGAATGCAATATAGATAGGTCTAAATCCGAGCGATCACTTACATTAATGTTATACTGTATATTATCATCATATCGTCCAGCCCTAAAACCTGTATAGTTTTTTTGTCAGTGTTTATTTAAAAACATACAATTATGCAGAATATAGTCTGTTCTGTTGCTTTTTGCAGTCTGTAAAAATATACAGTGCCTCAGATTTCTGGTCAAATCTAGTTGTACAGTCAATCGCAAAGCTCTTTCCCGTTTTAGATATGTTTTGTGTGTTTTTTCACGGCATTCAGGCTGAAAACAAATGCTGAACAAAGTCTCTTTGTCACTTAATTGGCTTGACCGCATTCACTCCGGCCCAAGGATGAAGTCATGTGCATAACCTCTATAGAAAAAACAGGAACAGACCCAAATACCTTTCACATCAATGCACTTGCACTGACTGGTGAGGCTTGTGTGTGTGTGTGTGTGTGTGTGTGTGTGTGTGTGTCCAGCTCTCCTCTGGGCTTTATATAAGGCAGTAATCTGACTGTCAGACACTCATCTCTCAGACTCGATCGAGGAGAAGCTGCTCTTCTGACTCTCTGACTCCGGCTACAGTCGTACAGGTGAGTGTGTTTCTAACACTGAACACTTGTGGACTCACGGCTCATTCCAACACCTGTTTGCTGGAGCCAATGTTATTTTGTATTACAGACATAATAAATATGCTAAGTAGTAATTAATCAAATAGAGTAGAAATTGAATAATAAAGTCAGAAGAAGATATTGAAAATAAAAATATACAGAGGATAGGAGATAGTAACTATGAATAACTGCAGCGTTAATAAAATATTGGATTAAAAAACACTTGCTGGTATGTTTGTAAAATTTTTCAGAAATTGTCTATAAAGTTCCTTAGAAGAATATAAGATATGATGTGTTCGGGTTGTTTTCTTTACATCTAGTCATTAAGTTACCAATTTAGCAGACTCCAATCAGACTGATTATATTGCTCATAAGAGTCGGAACGAAACACCTCAGAAAGTTTCTATACGAAATTCTTTAGAAATTTGGGTAACACTTTACAATAAGGTTCATTAGTTAACATTATTAAATGCATTAACTAACATGAACTAACGATGAGCAATGCATAACTTACAGTGTTTATTAATCTTTGTTAATGTTAGTTAATACAAATAGAGCTGTTCATTGAGCATTCATGTTAGTTCACAGTCCATTAACTAATGTTAACTAATACAACCTTTGATTTTAATAACGTATTAGTAAATGTTGGAATTAATATTAACTAAGATGAATAAATCCTGAAGAAGTATTGTTCACATATTGCACATGTTAACTAATGTAGTTAACAAATGTTAACTAAAGAACCTTATTGTAAAGTGTTACCGAAATTTGTATCAATATATAGCCATGTATATTGATACATATCAAATATGTATAAATGAAGTCAAAAATAGCATTACATGTAATATTCACAAAGTTGTACACACAAATCTCCATCAACTGCAAGATGCTGCTTTTTCAGTTCAGCTACATTCAATTTGACCAATCATAGCCAAGCTTTTCAAGTGACGTCGAAGCAGACTCGAAGAGATGAAGATGCTGCCTAATAGAAGTTACTGGTAAGTTTTAGTTTTTTGCTAAATAAAAAGATCACTATTTAGGTTTTTTAATCTTAATAAATCTTTTTAAAATCTATGTGGATACATTTGTTTGTCTTACTCAAATATACAAATATAAAACCTTGTCCAATGCATCCGCAAAAAAAACCTAATTAGTCATTATTTATAACAAATGTGCAAAATTTGCTTTAACATGATTTTTATTTGCAAAATGAAGCTGTGTATTTATTTCTGATTTCTTGAAAAAAATTGGTGTCATTATGTCAATGACATTTCTTACATGTAAATACATGTTAAGATGAACAAAGTTACTTTGTCTTGAGCTGACCAATAATGGTAGTGTGTGTTGATTGGTGTTTATAGTAGTTCAAGCTTGACAACCTTATGTATGCATATATATCTATATTTTTTTCTTATTAATATTTGTTGTTTTTCAGACAGCTGCTTTAAGAAAACTTGGAATTGGAAAGAAAACGCAATTCTAATGCGGATGTCTGGCCACTTAAGTTAAATTCAACCAGAGGTTTGCGACTTCTGTCCGCTATCTTGTAATACTGGAATGCTGTGACACTGAATTAAAACAATGTTCTGTCCTAATATTTTTCATAATGAGTTACTAGAAAGTGTACTTTCTTTTTCAAGTGTGTAAAGTTTTATTGTGAAAATTGTTATCAGCATAATGTTAGTATAGTAAACGTGTAATATATTCACAAAGTACAATTCTGTGTAAGTATTGGCAATGTACTATTGAAAATGTGAAGCAAGCAACTGCAAGCAACACCATTTGGTAAGTATAAACAAACAATAACATTTATTCACACACAATAAAATAAACAAATGAAACCCCCTTGTATTGAGTCTTAATATACCAATAAACTTCAAATGTAAATCAACCCTTGTCTCTTATTTTCTCTTAAAAAAAAAAAAAACTCAATTCACTTTCACTCTGTGACTTTAAGATAAACTAAATCACTTTAAATTATTTCACTAGAATGAAAAACAAATTTAGGAATAACCTTTTCAATTACGTCACATAAATCACCAGATCACCTGAATTTCTCCGTCAGCAAACGACACTCAGCAACTCTTCATCCACCACGAGCACCTGCACACACTGGCGTTACTGGACCCGTCGGCTCACCATACAGCAGCAAACGAAACCCAGAGCTCATCCGATCTAGACCCGCTCTGATCAAAGTCCAGGGAACCGGTGTCCTCTTCACACGGATACGAAAATCATCGTGCAGTCCGCATATAAATATCCGTGATTCTACCGCGTTTCCATCAGTGTATTTTTCCACACTATGAAAATAAAGAGCTAGACGAACTCCTGTTTGGAGTAACTCTTTCACAAATGTTTCTGTGTTGTAGAAAAGTCCGAACTGAATAAATGCACGAATTAAATACTTATACAGCACTTGGATTACATTTTTTCCCCTCAGCCTTTTACAAAACCCGCTTCTCTCTCCTCTGTCTCAGAACCTCCTTCCTCCCTCATCCAATCCAAAAACACCCTCTGAATAAAGAGGGCGGGATAAAACACACAACATCCAATGAAAATAAAATAATACACGAATGCGAGGCAAAAGCACATTTTCCCCAACGACCGTTAATCTCCCTCATTATTCTTAAAGCAACCCATCCCAGTTATAATCTTATTCAAGTGAAACCCTTTATAAATCCTACAAATTAACTTCTCTGAATGACTGATACTATTGTTTAATCAATAATTCCCTACTTACTCAGAACTACTTTCATAACAATCTCAGAAATAAGATATTAACAACCTTATAAGGAATATTAATGAACCACCTGGGTTACATATCATTTTACTATAGGTATTTCATATGTGGTACAACTATGTAAATCCAAATAAAATCCTATATACCATATTTTCTGCACTAGCCTATGAGTCGCACCAGATTATAAGGCGCAGCTTCAATGAATGACCTATTTTAGAACATTTTTGCATATATAGGGCGCACCGGATTATAAAGCACATAAGATACTGCAGTCAAGCGTTTGACTGGTTTGCGAAGACCCCTCGGGCGGCCATGGCGGAGACCTCCCTTCGGGCGCCCACGGAACAGGAGCAGGCATCCACCCAGGAACAGACATCGGTTGCTCTGGAACAGACCCTGGCTCAGGACTAGGAACAGACATCGGCTTAGGAACAGACCCTGGCTCGGATGCGGCCATCTTGTCCGAAGAAACTGGCTCGGAGGCAGCCATCTTGTCCGAAGACACTGACGTGAAAAGTCTCTGGATTGGCAGAAGTCATGTGAACAGTCTCTGAATCGGCCATCAGGCAAGTGCCTCTCTCCAGTTCAGACCCGAGAGATCGGGGAGCTACCTCGGGATAACATCCTCAGCCCCTAGCCGGTAACACAGCTTAATGGGCTTTATGCACAGCTGCACTACTTCCTGAACTTCAGCCAGCTCCTTGTTTCCTGTCTCTCATTATTGGGCAAACTTGATTAATAGCTTGTTTTCACGTGACGTCACGCCACTGCGTTGCCATGGCGCGAAACGCAGATGGAGGGCAGGAAGTGATTTCTATATTTAGGAAGCACTATAACACACTCAAAATGCCTGTGTTTTACGTCGTTTATGGTTCCTCAAATCGATCAAACCACGAGGAGTTTTTATCGTGTGACAAAAGTTGTTCATAAGGGGGGAAAATACAAGAAATTAACAGAAAAACTCTGGGAAAAATGCCTTGAAAACCTACGACTGCGGTCGGGAGGAGTGTGTGTGCAGTGAACACTTCGTCAAATGTGAGTTAATACATTATTTATGTGGCTTATAATTACATTATTCAGGTGTTTAAATACACTTATGTGGCTGTTTGTGTAACGTACCAGTTTCCGAACTTTGTAAAGTCAAAGTATGTCTGTAAGACGAGTTAGTTGCTGATATCTACAGGCAAATCTCTCAATTCAGTTGAAAATCGGCCCTCTTCATAACGTAAGGATCACGTCCAACATATGTTTCGATTTTCTGTTTATATATTTCTCTTGTAATAGCGTCTAAAGTAGTACAGTACGGATTTTCCTCCATCTCGTCCATTGCGCTCTTCACTCCTTGCCCTCCATCTGCATTCCGCGCGTCAACACAATCACGTGACTGCAAACCACCTATTCAGGTGTGTCTGATTATTGTTGCCGTGCCTACTGAGGTCAGGCACATCTGAATTAATCAGTGTGTCCAATAATAGCAGACAGGAAACAATGAGCTGGCTGAAGTTCAGGAAGTAGTGAAGCTGTGCATAAAGCCGACTGCTTCATCACCAAAAGAGCAGGAGGCAGCGAAAGGAGCAAACCCCCAGGTATACTGGAACAGATCGCGGCTATCCAGGGCCAAGGCTGCGATCTGACCGACGAACTCCCGACTCATGCTGGCAAGATCAGGTGAGATCTGTGCTGCTGGATCTGAAGTGGCGAAGTATTCTGTTACGAAATGGAAGACTCAAGGGGATCGATGTGCAGCTTAAGTTTATTGAGCAGAGTAGTCAAACAGGCAAGCGTCAGAACCAGCAGATACAGCAGTGAAGACGGGGCTAAATCGTAGTACAATACCAGGCAGACGATCAGGGCAGGCAGCAAACAGTCAAGGTCAAAGAACAAAGCAGAGTTTAGGCAGGCAGCAGACAGGGAGATATCCAAAACGGGCAGGGTCACAAAACAAAGAGCAGTCGCAGGAATAAACGCTCAGAAATTACAGGCCGTGGCAATGCAATATTTCGCAATGGTTCGCAATTCTCAAATTCAAGTGGTGCATTTTGAAATGAAAAGTGTTTCTTCTGCTAGATAATTAAACTCATTGAAGTAAAAGCTCAGGCTTAAATCACCAGTTAGCTTTCACTTTTCCTCCGTCATATATAAAGCTGTTTTGGTAATCAATGAGCTCAATCTATAGAAGGACTATAATAACAGCATTCATCTGGTGTGGAGATTGAATGATTGTCTTATTCTGTGTTGCAGGTTCAGGCACGATGACAGGCATTATTCCCAAGAGCAAAGCAAAGGGCACTGACATCTGTTTTAACAGAGGGTTCAATTGTATAATCCGCTCTGATCTCGGCTGCTATATGAAGATAGGTGAATTAAATAAGAATTTAGACATCTCTATTCACAGCCTGCACCCTGCCTGCAAAAATGGAGACCACTACCTTAGTGCCAATAATGGCCCATTATACATCATCAAGGGCAAGTCAGTCCGCAGTGTCAACGACCTGACGACAGACTACGATGCTAAAGTGTTCACTCTTCATCCCAACTGCCAGGGCGGCGACCACTACTTCTTTATGTATTATGAGTTTATCATCATCTTCAAAGAAAAGGGCACTTACCGAAAAACAAGTGATCTGAATACAGACTCATATCCTGAAGAATTCAAGCTGCATCCCGACTGCAGTAACGGCCTCTATTACTGGGGCGTAGGTAGTTCCTTCTGCTTCATCAAGCCAGCCTCAGAGTGGGGAGTCGAGTTCGGCTGGGGTAACAACGTCAGGTATTTTACATCAATGGGTGTCGAATCTGTTCATCCCGATGCTCTTAACTTCCTTCCTGGTGGGCTGTCCATAACCAAAGGTGCATCCTTTGGCAAGTGGGAGAATATTAAAACCATTAAAAATGACAGCAATACACCAGTGACATGGCGAAATAAAATCAATAAAAAGGTTGGCTACAATAAAGAGAAGATGACCCAGATCACACACAACTGGAACATAGCCACGTCATACTCGGTTGAATCTGGAGATCTTATAGAGTTAATTGCGAAGATTCAGTTCTCCTATTCTGCAGAATATGGAGGTTCACACGTCATCACTAAAACTGAAATCTGGAAAGAAGTGACTGAAGTGGAAGAAACACTCTCATTTGAGCTGAAGCCGAACGAGGGCTGTCTATCTGTGGCAGTACCAACTGGGTCTCGGGCAAGAACCAGTGCTGTTCTGCCGTGATATAAAGATTGACGACGAGCCAAACCTCCGACTGAAGTCCCGCTGCCGCCCGTTCAATCATGAAAACATATCAGGATGGTTTAACTCCAAGAATAATCAAGTGCTTCAGTTAAACACCTTAATTATAACTTCTCAAGTCATCATTTATATTATCTGCATGCAATGCTTAAAATAAGTCTGGAATTGTTTAATATAGCAAAGAGATTTTTCAGTTACAGTTGTAACTGCAAATTTCAACACTATTTGGTAACACTTTAGAATACTGTATCTTACTTACTGCATAACTAATAAGGAATTAATGAAGAACTAATAGGTAATTCTTTATTAACACTTAAGTCACTACTGTTTACTAAGGAAGATGTGTTAACTAATCAGTATGTAATATAATTTTATGATTGTGTTAAAGGAGCATTTCACCCATTGCAACATTAATCTTTATTGAAAGTGGATCATATATGTAGTCGAAATGTAAAATATTTTTTAATTTGGTGCCCTCTTTGACCGAGAAAAGAGACAGAAAATAATCAAGGGGCGCATTACTGTTAAAAAACTACAGTTCCAGAATTCCCCTGCATTGCACAGCTCCGAAAGCCACACCCACTGACCCACCCATCCACCGGAACAGCGCAAACAGAGAATTCACTCCTTCTGTCTACAACGCTAACATTAGCTGTCACCAGAGTAAGAGTTTGAAATTCATTTCAAACAAAATGTCTAGTTAGTTGGCTTTGGCGAGCAGGACGATCGAGGGCGAGGGATGTAAGAGGACGGCGCGCTGCGCGAGGCGATTCAGAGCTTTCCTCCTGGAGAAATTGCCATCGTTGAAATTCCCTGCAGCAGACGGACTCTGTGTCCGTAGGCCGTGACACGCAGCGAGAGTACAAGCAAC